GCTTAAACTAAAGAAGAATTTTGCTTTTATGGTTTTATAATCTTTCTTGAATCTCCTTAAAACTGATCATAAAATGCTTAGAAGATTATATAGAATCTTGCTTAATTTTTTTTATAATCTTTCGGGCACTCAATGATAAAATTGCCTTCCCATTACAAATTACAAAGACTGGTCTTTTATCGTACTATATGTATTACACTTACCGGCACTAACAAAGCCAGTATGAAGGGCAACAAAAGGGCCAAATGGTGTCTGAAAAGTGTTTCAAGAAAGTTCCACGTTGTGCTCTTTAACACCAAATGCAGATCCTCATGTGCTTGGTGCTTGGCAGGTTCCTCATAGACGAAGGGCACATAGTAAAAGGTATTCACTGGACCGGGAGAGTTTATAGAAGCTGTCAAAAATAACAAAAAGAATACATATAGAACGTGTCCGGATACAATTCGATGATAACTTACTTTGCGCTAAATGCTTAAATCGATTTATAATATAGTACATAAAAAAATTGTGAATCACGAGCAAAAGGGCTTCCCGCTTGATGGGATTAATTGAGCGCTATAAATTAATCAAAAATAATTAAATATATATAAATCGATATATTGTTACAGCTACTTACAATATATAAAAATAGCTGATACAAGAGTATAATGGCAGTTACTATACCCTCATGCATATCGGCCATAATGCTCGGCAAGCTATATAATTTTGATAAAAAAAATAATTTGTTTTCTGAGTAGCTAAGCAATGTTATATAAGTTTTCCTTAGGTCACCCACAAATACATTTATTTATCTTAGTTTTCTCATGAGTATCCACTAAATATTTCTTAACGTTAGTTTTTCACTTTTGTACTCGTCATTAAATTCCTATTTTAAGTTTCGTTTCCCTGCATTGCTTGCTTATGCAGCTTTGTTTTAATTTGCTTCCCTTTCCTTTTCACATTATTAATGTCCATCTGCACGTCGACAATTTCAATTATTAAATGTCTTAATAAAGAGCAGCTGGCCGCAAGTCTTTTGCATAATGGTTTACAATTACCAATTATCAGATTGTTGCATTTTGCTAACAATCTTTGTAGCTGCATAAATTTCAGATGCATAAATCAAAACGGAATCATTTAATTCAATTAGCCAACATGTGTAAATAATGTACAATATCTAGCTCAACATTTAATTTCCAATCCTAATTGAGTGGCTGCCAGGGCACAGCAACTGCACTAGTACACTCTAATCAAATAAACATGCTTAATATACTTGACCCTCAAAAGAGTTCAGCACACAGCTGCAGGCTAAAAGTTGAACAAAGAAATTTCATAAAAGCTATGCACATGAAAAGATTTAATAAAATTATCGTAAAAGTCATATAAGTAAAAACAATGATATCAATAATAATACACAGATTATTTGTCATCGAAGTTAATAAAATAACGTTACAAAATGTATAAGCTTAATGAAAAAGAAATGAAGAAAATAAAATATTAATATAATGATATTTTCTAAAATTTATACGAGGTCTCTAGTCGGAAATGGCCAACTAGATGATACCTTGAACCCTCTGCTAAGAACACAAAATACTCGACAGCTATAAAATTAAAGACTTGATCTCTATAGACTATTCTAGTAGCTACATGTCAAAATTAGTTATTAGTTATTATTTTTTTTACTGTTTTCTAAGATATACAAATTTGCATATCGTTTAAGTTTCTTAAGTTATTTTTGAATTTTATTGTTCTATCTTTGTCTTAGCTTCACATAGTTCATATTTTAATTAAAGATAATTTGGGCAAGTTAACTGAAGTTAGTTTTTTAATGATTTTAATTATTTAATAAATAAATTACCAAATGATAAAAAATAAACAAATATTTTAACAAATAAAACCACAAATAATTAATATGTAATTAATTTTAGAAAGTAAAAACCAGTTGAAGAAATATTCTGAATTTTTTTCAGTACTAATAAATAGCCTATTGCTAATAGATATGCTTAAGTTAAGCTAGTTTGTCGCTAGTTTAATAAACTGTAGTTGAGGATATATAGACATCGCTGACATACATGATATGCCATACCTGGACATTTTTTGAGTATTGCTATGTAATTTATTCCCAAATAAATATGCTTATATTTAAAATGATGTATCATTAGTTTAGAAAAGTGCACAAATCGCTGACATAGGTGTTATGTTGTTTGTTTATGGTCGTATTTTTTTTATATAATTGGAGCTCACATATTAAACTGCAAATGTAAATGCAACTGCAATGGCAAACGACATCGCCTATGTATAATGCTCTTTTGGCGATATCGTTATAAATAATGACTGCGATTAATTATGATGTAATCCTGTCGTAAAAATTCTCTTTTTTTTTATTATGTTTTTTATATAAATGTTGCAAATTTAATTAAACATTAATCATAGCAGCAAGCGGCAGCGAGTGCATTAAATTGGCGTCGAGCACATTAATTAACGACGGCAACCCCAGTAACTGGGCCGTAAAGGATTTGTGTTATTAATTGAACGATATGCAGCGGTTCATGCAGTTACAAAAGCTGTACAAGCACAACTTAATACCAAAATACTTACGGCTGATTAAGCCCTTCAATATGTATATATATATATATACATATATACATTTTTATAGTACTTTTTTTAGTATTATATTGAGCACAACTGTCACGTACGACACGGTGCCCCGAGCCGTCGCATATTTCATCAAAGGAAATTGAGCTTGAATTGATTTTGCGCACATATACACACATACGTGTATGCCTGTTATATAGCTTGGCCTAATGTGTATCATTTGGCTGGCAGTTATCTGCGGCCAAATACACAAAGGGGCGGTAATTTTGGGGCGTTAAAACAAAGGCCGCACCGGTCGTTGGCAATTTAGGTGCTTCGATTCCATTTAAGTTCGGCTTTTCCTTTTCCTTTTAGCTTCTTTTCTACCTGGCTAAGTCAATTTCGTATTTGCAATAACATTTATTCATCTTTGATTTCATTTCGATACATTTTTTGTTAAGTACTAAATGGATTTTATTCGATTATCATTATTACTCCTAATACGGTTTTTATTAGGTGCTTGCTTTTTATTATAAGTTTTTTATTAATAATTCCATGTCAAAAAAAAAAAAAAATTCTTAAAATAATAAAGAATATTATATATATTTTTCTTTGAAGTAGACAATATTACAAACCTTGTCTAGACAATTATTTATATATATATATATATATATATATATATATATATATATATATAAATATTTTTCTTAAGCCTAGATACATATTACTAAATATATTAATTGCGTCTTAAATATGTTTTCTCCAGATATTCAAAAACCACTTAACCAGGAACACAAATCATCAAATATATAAATGTAAGTCAGAGAAATGTTTTATTTATTACATATAAATTATTCACAGAATCAATTATGAAAAATTTCAACGGATTTTAATTGTCTGAGCTTTAATCTTTTAATGGCAAACTTTTGCGAAATTATTTTGAAACACACATCGGGACGCACAAAACCCATGCTAGTTTTTTTTTAATACCCAAACTCTGCGCACACAATTTCCTTTTAAGCTGGTCACATATTTTAGTTGGCAATCTCGACCGTCAGCAACAAGTTTCTCGTTCCGACCCGTAATCCTAGAAAAAAATGCTGAGAGAGTTGCCCACGCATTTATTTCAATTTCATATAGTACCAGAAAACAGAAATGTAGAGCGAGCCACAAACTCATTTACACTTTTAGGCTAAAACTGTTGGACGCTGAGTAATTTATGCGTACAACGGCATTTAAATGCGTTTAGCAAAGATGTGGGGTTAGCGAAACTGTCCAAGGGGTATGTAGACACACAGTAGAGTCGAGTCAGTCAGCTCGTCAGACTCGTCTGTCAGTCAGTCAGTCAGTCAAACGACATTGTTGGCAATTTGGGTTCACTTTCATTTTTCACAGCGTCCCTTTCATAAAAGGCAAAGCGGCCAGAGAAGCCGAAGAAGCGGGCGAGAAATAAGCGTAATGGGTGCCAAAAGCCAAAAGAGACACGGACGACAGTTTATGCGACTTTGGGGAATTGTTTAGAAAATTGACAAATTATGGTCATAAGTGGCACGATTAGTTTTGTTGGCCAAGTGTCTCAAGGTTGTCGCCTTTTCACTTGCTTTCTTCATGCTTCATGCTTTCTGTTTTTTTTTTTTTTGGCTTTTTTTTACCACCGCCAACCACATGCCACATGTATATTTATAGATTGTTTCAGTCGCGCTGCGTGTTATTAATAATTCAATTTCGTTGTCTCACAGCAGGCTCGAACACGCAACGAAGAGCGTTGCGTGAAATGCACCCCACACTCGCCCTGCCCAATCCTGCAGCTTTCCCACTGCTTTGCGCGTCTACCATTTTCCCCGTACAGCTCATTATATATTCATGCAAGTTAAGTGCGAAAGCTCATATGGTGGAATAATAAATTGAATTTGGCCCACAAGCCTGCACAAATGCATAAGTAGCTACGCGTGCTACCTGCCTGCCTGCCATGAGATACAAATGTATCTAAGCTTTGACACTCACGCAATAGTTGCGCCAGCCAATGTGCCAGCCTCTCCCCCGAAAATTATTAATATGAGTCTCGCAAAGACATTAAACTGTTACTTGATTGAGCTTTGGGCTAATGTTGCTTAAGACTGTCTGACACTTACATCAGGCATGGGCGCAGCTTGAGTGAAATGGATAATCTGGAGTGGTAAAGATTTTTAAAGCTCAGCCTGATACAAGCACAAGACATGCAATTGAAAGATGTCCCGCACGCTATTCGAAAACCTAATTTTGCATTTCTGGCTGGAATTAGCTGCGATTTCGTCCTGCTGGCCTTACCTTTTTGGACTTCTATCTGGCTTTTATTTGTGGCAAAGGATATTTTTTTTATTCAATTTAAATAGCGCATTTTATAAGTTCCTTGTTCCCCTTATCGAATAGAAACGCGTTCCTTGCCATTAAAATAAAACTTGATAAAGTTTCTTTTAAAATGCGTTAAGGATTTAGTAAAATAAAAATAGAGCAGACATATAATTTAAAACATTTTCAAATGAGATCGGGAACGCAGATTTGGACTAGGACACGCAGCACATTTAAAAGATGGTACGTAGCTGAGTGCAGAATCGCATGCATATTCACATTTTTCGCGAATGGGAAGGATTTGGGTGTTATGATCCTCATTGGGTGCAGACACGGCGTCGCTTGTGACGGCAGTTTGTTGTTACCTTGCAGGCCTGATGAAAAGGGAAATTGTTTTTAGCAAATAGCTCTGTGAATGAGAGTATTTAGAACTTACCTGCCGTCTGTAGCGATCCTTCTTGCACTCAGGTAAACGACACCAGGCGCGTGCTGCTTTCATGACCAGTTCTTTGGGACTGAGGCCGCAATGTTTGCGTCGATAGACGCGCAGAAAGTTCAAGTATCCGTTGTTTGTGACGGGACCCGGCTTTTGGCATTTATATTTCCTACAGGGCTTGGGGCATACCGGCTTGCAGCATTTGGGCTTCGGCTTGGGACATTTTGGTCGGCAACATGGCTTACGCCTGCGCGCTGGACATCTAGGTTTTGGCGGACACGGCTTGGGACAAGAACGTCTACGTTTAGGACAGCACATGGGTGGACTTTTTTTCTTCGGGCAACACGAGTCGTCTAAATCGGTGTCGTCGTTAGCATCGACATTTCGATATTTGTTTCGCTGTGCAGGTGTAAGCCTGTTCCATGCCTTGCCACCTCTTACCACATCAGGTATATCTAGGGCGCGAGAACGTGCAGCATAACTTCGCATAAAGTTCACAAACCCATTGTTGGTCACGGGTCCTCTGAGCAAGCTTTTTTGAGCTAGTAATATCTTGTTGTCGCTCATATCGACTATTCAGAGAAGGAAAAGTATGCTTTTGATTAATTAGGATTCTAAGGAATTTCTGTTGCTTGTAGTATATTATTGTCCGATTGTCTGAATACATGTAAATGCACTAGGAATATTAATGCAGTCCATGCAAGTACACAAAACCAAGTTCAAGGCGCATGCATACATTGTTCACCATTAATTGCAAGAATTTTGTTTGTCTAGCTGCATGAGACTCGTATTCCTGGCTACAGAGTTGCGTCTGACGAAGATGAGTACAGGGGCAGCAAGGAGAATCATGTTGAAGCAACTCCTTCGAGTGCTGTTGCCTCGAGCAAGAAAAGCCCATAATTAATATCACTTTACAGTTGCAAACTGCCAGAGATATAGTAAGAACCCCAGGGGTAAGCAGCTTTACGAACTGTTTAATATTGTTGAGGCTGCTTTGACTTGCAGGCTGCAAGCCACCTATAGACCGTGTTTGCCAAGACTAACAATAGGGTTTAGTTGCGCTGGAGGTAAACAAAGTGAAATGCATCTCAACAGGTCGGGCAGCTAAGCCGCTTTTCAGTTCTCTAATTGTAATGCACTGGAACACGGTCTTTCAGGCTTTGCTTTGGCAGAATTGTAGATTAAAAATTGAAGTTGTTTCAGTTTAAATTCTCGCATAGTTGCAAGCAAGCATTTTAATTATAGCAACAATTTGCCATGCAAATTTTCCCCAGTCTATATATAATTTTAGTTCGTGCAGGCTTAGTATTTCCATGAATGCTACTTAGCATGGCTACGTTCCACAGCTGTCCAGATATTTGCATTTGCATAGAACATTGCCAATATGTGCACCATAATTAACCAAGAATATAAATAATAATTTATCTAAGCTAGTTGCAAATGCATTTCCAAAAATATTAATATGATTTCTTATGGCCATGCATTAATTCTGATTTATGTCCAGCTGTGCTTTTCCCCTGTACATTTGTGGTCTTGTTGGCCATAATACGCCCCATTTGGCGAGTGTCTGGACTTTGCATGCAAAGTTGAAATCCATCCTCGGGCAGTTAGTTGGTCAAGTCAGCAGCAGGAGCTGCGCTTGGGGAGAGGTAGGGAGACGGAGAGGCAGAGAGAGAGAGAGAGTACCAATTATACGGCATATAAATAGTATTATGCTCTGGCTGGCAGGGGATTTGTTCCTCTGTTTGATGGAACTGCTGACAGCTGACAAGCTGAAAGCAACAGCCAACACAATGTAACAAGTGAAGGGGCTTGACAGTAGTTGCTACAGCGACTGCAATAGACAGCCACTCGACAGGGTACAGTGGAACAAATTGCGAGTATTAGGCATTCAAAAATATTTGTATATTTGATAACGATTTGAATCCGGTGTAATTTAAGCCCGACATGAGCTGAAAGGTATGTCTCATTCTTTATTGAAAGCTGTGAAGCTTCCATATTCAATGTTGACTATATCATTTTAACCAACAGCGCCTGTAATTCGTCCCATTAGTAATATATGTGACATCACCACTATATCATCTTTGCTCTTACGGGTGGCCACCTTAGCTAAGTGCTTTGTAATAAAGCAACCTGCTCTAGAATCACGTGACAAGAAAAAAAATGTATAGACGTAGCAGCTCTCAGGGCGCTTATGCTTTTGATTAATAAATTGACAGGAAGCAGCATTGATGGAAGCAGCTAAAGATGGCAGACTGGTAGCAAAAGCGTTGAGTGATTATCATTAGCCGCCAGAATAGTTGCCATTTAGCACGCACAACGAGCAGCATCGACAGCGACAGCAGCAACAACAATAACGACGTGCAGTTGCAACAATGTTTGAGTAATCGTTTGCTGTTGCTGCAACTGCAGCAGCAGCCCCTACATCTGCTACAGAATTTGCATGCATTGAGCCCACATTGAAACTTGGCCCCCATTTAACCGTGTACCTAGCCTTATCTCATACCCGCGCTCCGAAACTTGCCGCACTGTCAACTGCTGTTGTCTGTCCGCTGCACGTAACTGCAGCAGTAATTGCAACAAACAATTAGCGTCACTTGGATTTATGTTTACGAGCGGCTGCCTCGACATTATCCGGCAAAGCCAACCCCTCGCACCCAAACCTCTACCGAATATGGTTGCCGCGTGCGAGGATTAAACGTTGGCTCAATCACAGTGCATAAACAATTTGGCAATAGTGAAAAAACTGAAAAAACTTTTGATTTTGTATTCGTTATTATTCACTCACCTCAGATGAAAAACTCGTCCTTGATGAATTTAAAATCACACATATATAAAATTTACTTTTGCTACGGGCTAAAATACCAAAGAGAAAAATGATAGAAACTTAAAAAAATGTTCTTTTCTTCACAAGCTTTAAATGATTACTAAAATACTTGTGAAACTGGCGTGTTAGCTGCCTAAAACAATGATTAACAAGTCTACGAATACTATGTTTTTGAAGTAAAAATGAAAACAGGATTTTCTTAGTTCATATAAGCTTTTTGAATCCCACAATCTGTTAGCTAATCTGAAGCTAATCTGTTTCTTATGCGTTATACCAGTAGTCTCACGCGTTGATTAGTAAATTAGTTTTGTTAGAACATACAGGCATTTAAGGCATTTAGATATTTCCTCAAAGATCTCTCTCTATGCAATCAATAAGTATTGACTGCGCAGTTGCTTTCTCCTATTCCGCATATTTCCTCAAAAATCAGGAGGTAACTAGCTGGGGCACTAGCTATTAAGAATGCTTAAAAATGCCTCGACCTTCATTTGCAGGTCTTGATATATAACTGGGATAATGGGATGATTTTATTTGCATATATGGTAATAGACAACCGTAAAAGATCTTGGGCTTCCACACAAATGATTGGATCGACAATCTGTTTGGCTTGGCGAGGCCCTGGATTCAAGACCCTGATATTAACCCAACCGAGCCCACAGAAGAATTTCACACCTGTAGATTCGATTGGCAAGCTACCTATCGATTTGATTCACAAGGCTGACATTTCATTAAAATTTTTATTTTAATACAGCACAAAGTTAAAATTGAACATAAAATTTAGAATTAATAGACTATCCCAAGCAATGCAGATGTCATCGAATATTTGGCGTTTTGACTGGGCGCGTTATAGTGCCTGTAGCCTGGCGGTTGTCGCTGGTTTTCGGGCAAGTCCAAGGCTGAAGCTTACGAAGTTGACGCAAGACGGCGCTAGTGGGAGCAGCTTTTTGATAGGATTTAGAGAAATATTTTAGAAGGAGTTTACTTGACGGCGGAATCGATCCTTTTTGTACTCAGGCATCCTACACCAAGCTCTGGCTCCTCTAACAACTAACTCGTTGGGTTCTAGATGATCGTATTTGCGTCGAAAGAGGTTCATGAAGTTCAAGTAACCACTATTTGTTAACGGAGTTACAACCGGCTTTTGGCATCTACGCTTGGCACAGGGATTCGAACGCCTGGCACAGGGCTTCGCACGCTTGGGGCATCTGGGCTTCGGCTTGAAGCATTTAGGTCGGCAACAGGGTCTACGCCTGCGCACCGGACATCTGGGCTTTGGCGGCGGACAGCAAGGTTTTCGCTTGCTCCGCTTTGGACAGCAAGGTTTGCGCTTGGGCCGCCTTGGACAGCAGGCGTCGGTGTGCATTTCTGACATGGCGTTTCGTGCCACGTCTAGTGTACGATATTTATCCTTTTGCTTGTATGTGAGCTTATTCCAAGCCTTGCTGCCTTGCACAGATATGGCAACAACGTCCAGACCATAATTTTGTTGACTGTAGCTTCTCATGAAGTTTACGAAAGCCTTGTTGGTTACAGCCTTATTCAAACTACCCGACGCAGAAGCACTTTTCGCTTCCATCTTGTCTTTTCTGTAGGAGATAAATTAATTACTATATACTAATTTGTCTATAAGCTCTTGACTCATCGAAAATTGTTCGCAGTTGCTGCATCTATAAACTTTGATTTTTATAGAAAAATACTTATGTTGGCGCAAATCCTAGCCTTTATCATCCTTACAAAATCCTTGCAATTCCTCTACAGTAAACGTTTGATTTATGAATTAGCCGCGCGTTTTCTATATAAACGCCCAAGCCAAAGGCAGGCGCCTGCAATTCGTGTAATAAATGTTGTTGCACCATGTAAATGACGTCATTACATGTCACGGGGTGTGGCAACACTGTCGGCTGTCTGCACTAGCCAGCAGTAGGCGGCTTCACAGGATGTTATTCCTCTGGCCTAAGGCCTGTGTTTCTTTCCACTTACCTAAGCAGCTTTATCCGAACGATAATAAAAAACTATTGTTAAAATTTTCCTTAAAAGTTTTTAAAATCGAATTAAAAGAAAATTGTGTCTTTGATTTGAACTATTCGTGTGCTAAAAGTGTATTGAGTCTCAACGAAAGTCACGAGGATAAACTGTACTAAAAATTGATTTGTAAATGATTGCCTACTTTTTCGAATAGACAGAACAAGCGAAGAAAGTATGTACAGTGAAATCTTTCATAGCCGAACATCCACCGTCTGGTTTTATGATTATGGTAATGCACTATGTATAGAAAGAACGCTAGAAACCCGAAAAAATTAGTCTGTTTTGGGAGCTTGGTTTCCTTAAAGGCATATACAGTAAAAACTCTACTAACGGACACTCACATTAGTTCGACACAAGTCTAGAGTGGAATATTTCTCTGAAACGATTTTTTTTTTGGATGTATCATTTATATATCAGGACATCTCCGACAGTTCCTGCCCGCTGTAGAGAGTTTTCACTGTATAAATATTTTTATTCATTACATTTCTTTTTCGGGAAGAAGCCTACTCAATTCATGCAGCAGCATAGTTATAGAAAAATTCCTGTTTCTCAATTGTTAGTTATATACATATTCCTGAATGTATTCCCATACAGCAATTTTAAGCCTTATGCAAACAACTGTTTAAGCCCAACAAAAAAACGTCTTTCAGCTACCAATCAGCACAAAGAGAGAAAAAAAGCAGCCAACACAAAAAAAGTAAGAAACTCAGTCGAAGCATTCGTTTTGATTGGATTGAATTGGTTTAGATTGTGGTAGACTCCCATATGACGCCGGCGGATATAAGGGGCACATCCTGTGTGTGGCTTGTTGGCTTAGCTTAGAAATGTGCCTGCCTTGAAGAGCGGGGCACAGGCAGAGCGTAAATTATGTGTCTGTGAGTGCGTGTGTAAAAAAATTTCATTTTTTTATTTTTACTAAAAAGTGTTTTTTCTCTGTCTTGCAGCAGTTTATTAAAATTGCAAGCCGCAAGCGCTGCGATTAAAACATACATTGGGAATGGCTCTTAAGGATACAGAATACACGATTCCGTATTCACGATTTCATGTATGCTAGAAGCCTTTCTATTATCTGTAAAATGTTATGATTTATTATATGTGAGTTCAAGTTTATGTTTGGGCCATAAATTGTGAGCCCCAAAGGGTTACAAAGGCCACATTGCCCACAGACAACCTGTCCCCGCCTACCCGACAGCAGTTAAGTCAATTAATTGGCTTTAGATTTATTAGTTTTATTTTTTCACTACCCTCAACCCTCATAACCACACACCCTTCTTGTTTATAGTGTATGGATCGCGTATGTGTTGTGATTTATTGCGCGAAGGATTTTAACCTAAAAAGAAAGTTTTAGCGCTTTGGCACGCACACAGCCAGCCCCTACTACATGAGTCCAGGTAATAGCGTATGCCCGGGAGGCGTGGCATTTGCATATAAATAGATATGTCACTTTAAATATTAGATACATGCGAATCGCGGCGCCCGTGTTGAGCCTTTAGGCCCACGCAGATTTTGCGTGCAGAGCCAACAAAGTCTTGGTATTCCATTAAATTAGCCTCAGTGTCAAATGTAACGCCCGATATGCTGCTGACATTCATCTCAGCTATTTATTGTGCTAAATTATTAACTAGGTCAAATGCGAAGTCAAACACTTAGCGAGCACGCGAAACGTTTGTTAAAACCCACAACTGTCACAATTTGGCAGCTGACCTGGATAAAATGAGAAGAGCACTATTAGGGTTGTTTTTCCTGTAAGATAAGCAGTCTATAATTACAATGTGACAGGTTGACATTCTAAAAACAATTCACTGATTGCAATTTATCTAGTTGCTTCAAATTAAATGCTGAATTTTCAATGTTTTTTGATAGTGCGTGCACCCAAATCAATATGAAGAAGGTTGTTCCTCAGGGAATGCTTCGGAATACTATCGCAGGTCTCATAAAAACAGTTGGCATAAGTTTAAGTTTGGGTGGAATGAGTTTTGTAGTTAAAGAAAATAAGGAACTAAAAGCTCGATTAATGTAACCTGTTTAAAGTTATTAAAATCTATAGAAAGTTACATACATTATTGGGCTTATAGTTACTAGAACGGAGCTCTATCATGTGCATTATTGAAAGAGGAAGCAAGGATTTTTGTTACCCTTGTGGAGGGTATTATAATTTTTTCATGAAATGTGTTGGGACATATCCGACATAATAAAGTATATATATTTCGGTCGAAAAGAAGGTTCTTATATGGCAAAATATTCTGATTTCGAAGATGTTTTCTTTAAACTCAGCATATACGGGCCTCACTATTCTCAGATATCTGCAAGAGGGCAATGTCTACAAAGATACTTTCTTGTATTTTTGTATCAATACTTTATGCTCGAAATATATAAAAAATTATTTTTAATTCATTAAAAAGTAACTAAATATTTGTTGACTTTATTAAAAAAATTTTAATCAACCATTTTGCCGATTGCAATTTTTTGTTTGAAAGCCTCTCATAAAGTCAGGTTTTCTCCCTTTGGATTGTTTACATGTGGCGAATAATTTTTTGTAGCATACTTTCTGCACGTTTATTATGCATTTTGCTTTCAACACAAAAACACGTACCGCGTAGGGCTAGTTGTGTGGGTGGGTGGGAAGATGTGCATTGCATGCTCAATAGCTTAAATTATGCGTGCATGGAATATGCAATTTGAATGTGAAATAGTTGACATTGGCCGCACTGGCAGAACCGCAGCGCAGCGCAGCGCGGCTCGAACCAATTGCACAAAATCAACGCAAAAACCTCACCAACATTTAGCAGCGATGCATAAATCATAGCATACTTAACTGCACACGCACACTCGTGCACACACGTGCACACACACGCACAGACGCATATAAATTGGTTGGTTGTCCTGCTGCGTAACAGTCTCGCGGTTGTTTTGATTTCGTTTGCAACCTTTAATTAGAAATATTGCCACATTCTAAATGAGCCGATGCCAAAGCTAAAACTGAGGCAACAGCAACAAATTAAATAATGAAAAACGGAATAATAATTATGAGGGCAATCGAATAGAGTCTGGTTTTTGCAATCGCGAACATTAAACCGCAGTCGTACATTTATTTTTGCATTTATGCACAAAATTTACTAATTTAAGTGACATGAAATATTTTGGTTGCCATTCGGTTAGCAGCTGAAATATTTTTGGCCCAAAACCAACGGACGAATTCGCGGCCGTGCATTGAATTAGCCGCCAATCGTGTTTTAATTGACTTAGTTCGCTCAATGCGGGTGTGTCTAGTATAGTTTATATCATATAAACAGATCCACACTGCAGCCATCAATTGCCACTCAGAATTGCATTACAAGCTTTTAATTGAATGCGATTGCTATTGCTGTTGCAAAGTATGTACTAATATATTTATTTGTGTGATATTTTTTTTGTAATATCTTACATTTTTGTTTGGGTTTTAATTATAAAAAAAAAAACCTTTTTTCGGTTTGAATATAGTGTCAACGGTTGTGTGTAGAGCTTAACTCCGAACTATACTAGATCACGATGGCAAAGCCCCTAGAAAAAGGTTCGACGTGATTTCCTGCCATGATGTTCAAATTGTGATCCTGATTTCTACATCCAAAATATATATAATATAACATGGTTAGATAAATCCAATAGCGGGTGCCCAAGTTTAAATTGCTTTTGAACTGATTTTCCCTCAATACTGATACAACTACTGATTCGGTCTTGGCATTCGTTTGAAGCCCTAATTAGAATATTCTCCTTATTTTTAAATCTTTTTTTCTTCGTCAGTTCTTGACAAATTTTATGTTTTATGCACGTCAATAAGCAACATAATTATGCTTTAAATATGACAATTTAAATTGTAATGAATAATTGTTGAATATTTTCTGTACTTAATTTCTCAGAGGAATTTGTTTGTGATTCGCATGCCGAACAGATTGAGCAGCAAGAGAAATACCTTTAATGTGCTTTAGTTATGAATGCAATGCAACGACAAGCATGAACAGCTTTTCGTAAGAGTTTCCTGCCAGGACACTAAACGATTGGAATACTTTGCGACTGTGCGTTTTGCAGGTTAATTTAGTTAGAAGCATTTCCAGGCTGGCTTCTTAGCTATGAAACTATGCGAGTAATTGCACAACACAGCAATGCAGTTGAGAAATGCGGGGACGAGTGGGTGATACTCGGTTGAAGTAGACAAAACGCAACAAATGCTGAACTGATTTATCTGGAAAACATTTTGGGACGGCTGCTGCTTTACAAATTGGCAACAGAAATTAATAAGAGAAATAAGTTTACCATTTCCTGTCGATGGCAGCCGGACAACAACAACAACAACATAAATAACTACGAAAAATACTAGAAAAATGCCAACTAATAGTCATAGTCCATTGTTATAGTCGGTTAGTATTTATGGAGAATTGGGGGAGGAAGTCGGCGGGACTGCAAAGACATTCCAATAACTGTACAACATCCGGTCGAGCCACACAATGGCAAAAACGTTTCCAATTTCAATGGGGAAATATTTCTATTTGAACAGGAAAATATTTTTAGCAACCGTTTATATGAGTGCATGTGTGTGTTGGCGTGTGTGGGCGAGTGTGTGCGTATGTGCGCATAGATCTAAACGACTCTTCACCTGGCGACGACGAGATAACACAAAAAAAAGTTAAAAAAAAAATTTGATAAAAAAAGAGAAAACTATGCTGGGAAAAAAATGCAATCTTAATCCAGTAGCTCACAGTCTAAAAAATAACTAAATAGAGAAGGAGAAAAAAGGGGGAAAACATAAGATATAGAATAATCGAAGATTTAATACACTTATTTAATTTTATTAAACTAATATAATACATCTTATTAAATTTGATAAGAGTCTGCCATAAAGTTAAAAGCTTGGAGCTATGGTGCAAGTAAAAGTTCGAAATAAAAGGTTTCCGAACTAACTTGGTCGATTCTTCCAATAAATGTTTATAAAGAGGATATATATTAAAATTCCAAAAAGACTTCCTCTTGAAGGCGGCTATGTGAGTAATTGCTTCGCAGAAAT